TATAATGGCTGTAAAATGGACTCTTCAAACATTGATTGCTGCTCATTCACATTGTCAAAAAAATAAAGTTGAAATACTTCAGAGTACATTGTGTGGTTGTATTCAATGTTTGGCACAATTTGAACGGAGTGAAATTTTTGATTGGGATGATGATCAAGAAACGGCAATGTGTCCACTATGTGATGGATCGAGTTCAGTTATAGGAAATGCCTCTAAATATCCTATAGAAAATATTGAATTTTTACAAATGATGAAAGATAAATGGGTTTAATCAACATCATCATCAAGCGTGAAAGTTTTCTTATGTATTTTTGTTTGTTTATTCTACTTTTACATTGTATAAAACTTGTTAATCTTATTGTTGTTGTTATTATTATTATTATTACTATTATTATTTTATTAAATATAAACAAACTGGAATAAAATTTAAGACGTTTCAAGCACTAATTTACTTTAGAATACGAATAAAATGATCGCAGGGAGTCTTGACATAGGAAATTCGATTTTAGTTAACCTATTTTGATGTATTATAAGAATGTGATAGATATACTGTAAAACAAAGTAGTTTAATAATAGACAAAAATATCTCGTTATATTTTTCATCTAAATTAAAGCTTCTTTGCTGTTATTGTTGTTGTTGTTGCTACTTTAATTTTATTTGTAGATAAATGTCTGAAGTATCTTCATCAAAAGAAAAGCCACATCAAGATCTATTTGTACCAGTTAAATTATTTAAATGTTCTTTGTGTCCATTTTATGCCAATTATGATCGTTACGATAAACAATATAATGTACCACCACCACCACCAACAACCGATGAGAAATTTCGAAAAAAAAAAAAGACTGTACCTGGTTGTTCTATATTATTTTTAGAAAGTGTATATTTATTAAATGATCCATTTATTCAAAAACGTCGTATAGGAGGAATTTCCTCAACTACTAATCAATCACAGTCAACGTCTCATTCTTCTGTCATAATTGGTTCAAAATGTTTTCTATGTCAACGAGATGTTTGTGTATCATCTGATTGTAGTACATTTTATACAAAACGATTTTGTCTTGAATGTATAGCAAATAATCAAGAAGAATTTCCAAAAGAATTACTTCAAGAATTAAAGATAAAACTTGAAAAATTTGAACAGATATCATCATGAGAGTTTTTTTTTTCTTCTTCTACTTTGTACTTTTGTGTTATTGATGTAAGTAAGTAAAAAAAAACAAAAAGATTTGTGATCCGAATGTTCTCATTACGCATATCTAAAAATAACTATATAAACCTCTGACGTCAATGACAAAAATCGCTTTCTTACCGTTATTATTATAATAAAAGGATATTCCTTTTTTTTTCATGCTAAATTTACTAAGATATTTTAAACAAAAGAAAAATGTCGAAAAAAAC